TACTATTCAGCATTCCTTCTCCACCTCCCTGAGGATGGATATGAAATATGTGTGTGTCTATGTGTTTTTGGAGGGTAACAGTTTACGAGCTGTTAGTTTAGCATCTCTTGAACTAGTTGTGGCCGGACACAGCCAGAGTGTAACTTTAACTCCTGTGGGCTGAGAGCATCGGCTGGAGCTGACTTGGGGTAGTGCAGGCCCCTTGCTGTGAGGTGTGGGTGGCAGGGGCTCTTCCAGCCTGTCTGGTCCCCTTGGGGGCTGATTGACTCTTTGTTACTCCCATCTTTGATTAAGGGCCTGAACCTCCCTATTAAAATAAGACTCTGGGACAGGCGCAGTGGCTCACGCCTATAATCCCAGCACTTTGGGAGGCCCAGGTGGGCAGATCACTTGAAGCCAGGAGTTCGAGACCAGCCTGGCCAACATGGCTAAACCCTGTCTCTACTAAAAATACAAAAATTAGTTTGGTGTGATGGCGGGCGCCTGTAATCCCAGCTACTCAGGAGGCTGAGGCAGGAGAATTGCTTGAACCTGGGAGGCGGAGTTTATAGTGAGCCACTACACTCTAGCCTGGGTGACAGAATGAGACTCCATCTCAATAAACAAGCAAACAGGCCGAGCGTGGTGGCTCACGCCTGTAATCCAAGCACTTTGGAGGCCAAGGTGGGCGGATCACCTGAGGTTGGGGGTTCAAGACCAGCCTGACCAACAGGGTAAAACCCCGTCTTAAAAAAAAAAACAACAAAAAAATAAATAAATAAAAAAAAACAAAAAACAAAAAAAACAAAAAAAACAAGCAAACAAACAAACAAAACAACAACAACAGAAAACAGACACTGTTCTATAGAGGGGATAGTAGATTATGCTGTTTACAGCCATTTTTGCTTTGGCGATCCTGTCGGTTAGTCACTATTAGTCACTTACTGTTTATAAAGTGCTGTGTGTCGTGAAGGGGGAGTGGTTAAGCCAAGACTGTCTTATAGCTTACCGCTGATTCTGATGTGTAGGGAAGGAGGGTGCAGGGGAATTTCTCTGGAAGGGAGGTTAGCCTCTGAAGGACTTGGGGTCTGGGGCTTGAGTGATGCAAGGGGGTGGCTGGAGCACTAGGAGAGTGACAGAATGCATGTCCAAGGGAGCGAGGAGACATGGCCAGGAGGGAGAGCTGGGAGGACTTGGGGCTGGGTGGTGGTGGGGCTGATGAAGATGCTTGGCTGCTCGCGTAGGCAGCAGTGAGCCCTCAGGAGCTTCTGCAAGAGATCAGAGCTCCAGACCCGCTGATTTGGAGGCAGAGTGTAGAGTGAATTCGGGAGGCTGGGAGGAGCTTCAGGAAGAGGTGATGTCCATACCTTAGTCCATGCTGGTGGCGGCCAGACTTTGATTCATTCACTATTTTGTTTAATTCAAAGTTTGCCTTTAGTTTGGACTTTTTTCTCTTTTCTGTTTTCTCTTTGTTTTTTAAGGCCTTTTCCCCCCAGCTTTATTGAGGTTTAATTGACAGATGACCGCACGTCCTTACAGTGCACAGCGTGAGGCTCCAGTCAGTGGGCACGTTGTGAAATGGTTCCACAGCCAAGCTCATGCACACGTCCGTTACCTCACAAGATTATCATTCTTTTGTGCGTGTTGAGAACATTAAAAAGATCTCTCTTGGCAGTTTTCTTTCTCTCTTTTTTTTCTGAGACGGAGTTTCGCTCTTGTCGCCCAGGCTGGAGTACAATGGTGCGATCAATCTCGGCTCACTGCAACCTCCACCATTCTTCCTTTCTTCCTTCTTCCATTCTTCTTTCCTTCCTTCCTTCCTTTCTTTCTTTCTTCTCTCTTTCTTTCTCTCTTTTTCTCTTTTTTGGTTCAAGCGATTCTCCTGCCTCAGCCTCCTGAGTAGCTGGGATTACAGGCTCCGGCCACCTTGCCCAGTGAATTTTTGTATTTTTAGTAGAGACAGGGTTTCACCATGTTGGCCAGGCTGGTCTCGAACCCCTGACCTCAAATGATTCACCCACCTTGGCCTCCCAGAGTGCTGGGATTACAGGCATGAGCCACCGCGCCCGGCCTCTTAGCAGTTTTCAAGTGTGCAATACATTATTGTTAACGCTGGTCGCCCTGCTGTACATTAGATCTCAGACTTCCTTTTTTTTTTTCTTTTCTTTTTCTTTATTTTTTGAGGTGGAGTTTCACTCTTGTTGCCCACTGTGGAGTACAGTGGTGCAATCTCAGCTCACTGCAGCCTCCGCCTCCCGGGTTCAAGTGATTCTCCTGCCTCAGCCTCCCTTGTAGGATTACAGGCATGTGCCACCACGTCCAGCTAATTTTGCGTTTTCAGTAGAGATGGGGGTTCTCCATGTTGGTCAGGCTGGTCTGGAACTCCCGACCTCAGGTGATCTGCCTGCCTTGGCCTCCCAAAGTGCTGGCGTTATAGGTGTGAGCCACCATGCCCGGCCTGTTTTTTTCTTTATCAGGAACTATGTCCACAAAATAGTATTTGAGCCCCTTACTGAAAACATGTATTCATCTGTATTTTTTACTTATATTTATTTATGTACTTGTACCTCTGTATATGGCGTATTGCACATAATGCGTATTGAGGGCATTGTGAAAAAGGCACAAAATATAATTACAAAAAAGAGAAATAAAGGGAAATGGGGGGTCCGCTGTGTTCCTCCTGCACCGGGAGGCTCCACAGCTGCGTGAGGAGTTCCTGGGTGCTCGTGTCTCAGTTAATGACAGGGCGTCTGGGCGCTGGGGCAATGGTTGGAATGAACCAGATGGGTGGTTAGGGGAACAGAGAGGAAGGACAGGTGGCGAGGCAGCTGGCAGAAGACATTGACATCATGTGTTGATGTCAGTGACTGATCACATTAGAGAGGGGAGTGAAGACAAAAGAAAGAACAGGGCGGTTGGGTGCAGCGACTCACGCCTGTGACACCAGCACTTTGGGAGGCTGAGGGGGAGAATCAGTTGAGACCAGGAGTTCAAGACAAGCCTGTGCAACATTGGGAGATCCCTTTCTACAAAAAGAAAAAAACTAGCCAGCCGTGGTGGTGTGTGCTTATAGTCCCAGGTCCTGGGAGGCTGAGGTGGGAGGATCGCTTAGGCTCAGGAGTTTGAGGCTTCAGTGAGCCATGATTGCACCATGTACTCCGGCCTGGGAAATAGTGAGACTCTGTCAAGAAAGAAAGAGAAAAAGAGAGAGAGGGAAAGAGACAGAGAGAAGGAAAGGAGGGAAGGAAAGGGAGGGAAGAGGGAAAGAAGGAGGGAGGGAGGATGGAAGGAAGGAAGGAAGAAGGGAGGAAGGAAGAAAGGAGGGAAGGAAGAAGGAAAGAGAAGGGAAGGAAGGGAGGGAGGGAAGGACGGAAAGAAATAAGGGAGAAAGGGAAGGAGGGAAGAAGGAAAGAAGGAAGGGAGGAAGGAGGGAAGGAGGGAAGGAGAGAAGGAAAGAAGAAAGGAGGGAAGGAAGAAGGGAAAGAGAAGGGAAGGGAGGGAGGAAGGAGGGAAGGAAGGAAAGAAATAAGGAAGGGAGGGAGGGAAGAAGGAAAGAAGGAAGGGAGGAGGGAAGGGAGGAAGGAAGGAGAGAAGGAAAGTAGAAAGGAAGGAAAGGAGGAGGGAAGGAAGGAGGGAAGGAGAAAGGAAGGGAGGGAGGGAAGGAGAAAAGGAAAGAAGGAAGGAGGGAATGAAGAAGGGAAAAGAGAAGGGAAGGAATGGAGGGAGGGAGGGAAGGAGGGAAGGAAAGAAAGAAGGAAGAGAGGAAGGAAGGAAGGAGGAAAGGAAGGTAGAAAGGAAGGAAGGAAAGAAGGAAGAAAGGGAGGGAGGAAAAGGGTGAACACCGTGGAGAGGTGACTTCCCCTAGAGGAAAGAGGACTGGAGACAGATGCGGATTTGGGGTAGAAATGACAATCTTCCCTTCCCTTCTGTCCCTCCATCCTTCCTTCTGTTTTTCCCTCCCTCCCACCCTACCTCTTGTGACAAGTTGATTGTGGGGGAAATGCCCCAGGAGGAGCTTCCTGGGGGTGGGAGAGATGTGACTGTGGAGTAACAGCAGAGGTTGGGTCCTGACAGTGGTGGCTGAATTTCCCCGGGAGTGATTCAACAAGGCAAGGAGGTGGACCCTGGGGCTCGAGGGCCTATGCAGGGCAGAGAGAGGGCGGGCAAGGTGACGGGTGCTGCATCTTTGGGCAGTGCCCTGCAACTGTACCCTGGAACTAAGATTGGGGCCAGATTTAGCTGTTTCTGAAGTGGTTGGGGGTCCTCAGATCTGGAGGGAGATGATGTTGAGTCCTGAGAGGGACTGGGAAGAGTCCTTTGCTGGAGGAGAAATTATTTCATCTTCCCATCCTGCAGAAACAGAAGTTGGACATTAACCCTGCACTGTGCCTTCCAGACAGCCATTCAGACTTTCTTAGATAAATTCCATTGTCTTCCCTAATAACTGGACCTTTTTATTTTTTCCTAATGTTATACGTATATGTGTGTATGTGTGTGTGTTTATGTATACATATATATATGGTATATGCATAAATATGAATGTGTATATATATATTTTTTGTTGATGCTGTTTTACATTTTTATTTTTACTTTTTTTGAGACAGAGTCTTGTTCTGTCACCCAGATTGGAGTGCAGTGGCGCGATCTCGGCTCACTGCAACCTCCACCTTCCTGGTTCAAGCAAATTCCCCTGTCTCAGCCTCTGGAGTAGCTGGGATTACAGGTGCACGCCACCGCGCCTGGCTAATTTTTTTTTTTTTTTTTGCATTTTTTTTAGTAGAGATGGGGTTTCGCCATGTTGAAACCTCGAACTCCTAACCTCGTGATCCGCCCGCCTCAGCCTCCCAAAGCGCTGGGATCACAAGCGTAAGCCACCGCGTCCAGCTGATACTGCTTTAAATAAGTTGTTTCTCCTGCTGCAGAGAAATAGCTATGCATTCTCCCTGGATTCTTGAGAGTAGCCCAGAAATCACTATTGTTTGTCACGTCTGATAACAGGTACGATCTTGGTTTCTCCGTAGGTGGCCATAAAAGTCATCGATAAGAAGAGAGCCAAAAAGGACACCTATGTCACCAAAAACCTGCGGCGAGAGGGACAGATCCAGCAGATGATCCGCCACCCCAATATCACTCAGCTCCTTGATATTTTAGAGACGGAAAACAGCTACTACCTGGTCATGGAACTGTGCCCTGGGGGCAACCTGATGCACAAGATCTATGAGAAGAAGCGGCTGGAGGAGTCCGAGGCCCGCAGATACATCCGGCAGCTCATCTCTGCTGTGGAGCACCTGCACCGGGCCGGGGTGGTCCACAGGTGAGGGCCTGGCCAGGTGATGATCACCGACTGTGCGCTCCGTGCGTGGCGCTGTGCTTCTGCACTCTCTGAGCCTCAGAAAGGCTGAGCAATTGCAGTCTGTTTTACAATTTTTCTACATTTTTATTTTATTTATTTCTTTATTTTTTTGAGATGGAGTTTCATTCTTGTTGCCCAGGCTGGAGTGCAATGGTGCAGTCATGGCTCACTGCAACCTCTGCCTCCCAGGTTCAAGCAATTCTCATGTCTCAGCCTCCCAAGTAGCTGGGATTACAGGTGCTTGTCACCACACCCAGCTAATTTTTTTTTTTGCATTTTTAGTAGAGACAGGGTTTCACCATGTTGGCTAGGCTGGGTTTCTATATTTTTATTCCATGGAATTGTTTTGTGAGTTGGGTTAATGCCAGTGTGAGGGTTAAAAGAGTAGAATCTGAAGCTGGAGTGATTGGCTTGCAACCTGGCTCCGCCCTGTAATAGTTATGTGACCTTGGGCAAGTTACTTAAAAGTAACTTGCTAGGGAGGTTCCTTTTTTTTTTTTTTTTTTTTTGAGACGGAGTCTTACTCTGTTGTCCAGGCTGGAGTGCAGTGGCACGAACTCAGCTCACGTCAACCTCCGCCTCCCGAGTTCAAGTGATTCTCCTGCCTCAGCCTCCCTAGTAGCTGGGATCACAGGTATGTGCCACCACGCCTGGCTAATTTTGTATTTTTAACAGAGACAGACTTTCTCCCTGTTGGTCAGGCTGGTCCTGAACTCCTGACCTCAGGTGATCTGCCTGTCTCCATCTCCCAAAGTGCTGCAATTACAGGCGTGGGCAACTGTGCCTCGCCAAGCCTCAGTCTCTTAATCTGTAAAATGGGAATCATAATGACACATCTCTCTCAGTTGGAGTAAGGGTCAATGAGTTAATATATGGGAAGAGCTTGAGACAGTGTTTGGTACCTAGTAGGCATCAGGTAAGTGTTAGCTGCTTTTCTTATTTGCATACTCGTGAGACCAGTTGCTTAGGCCTAAAAGAGCCAGTGTTAAGATGGCATGAGATTATTTTTCACTTAGTGCCAGGGATGTTGGTGCTTTCATTGTCTTTGCTTTACATATGGTAGCCACTCAAGAGCTGTTTTAGTCAATGTTTTTTTTTTTTTTTTTTGAGACAGAATCTCACTCTGTTCCCCAGGCTGGAGCACAGTGGTGTGATCTTGGCTAAATTAATAACTATATGTACTATAAAAGCCACAATTTGGAAGTATATAATCTAGTGTTTTTTAGTATATTCACAGTTGTGCAACCATCACCACCTAATTTTACAATATTTTTATTATCCGCCCCCCCCACCCAGAAGAAGCCCTCTACCCATTAGCAGTCACTTCCCATTTCCCTCTTCTGCCAGCCTAGGCAACTACCAATTTACTTTCCATCTCTGTGGATTTGCCTATTCTGGCCATTTCATATAAATGGAATTATATAATATGTGGTCTTTTGTGACTGATTTCTTGAATGTAGCACAATGTTTTTCAGATTTGTCCAAGTTAGAACATGTGTCAGTGTCTCTTTCCTTTTCATGACTGCATAATGCTCCATATATGGATATACCAGAATTGGCCAATCCATTTGAGTGGTTCCCACACTTTGGCTAATATGAATAATACTGCTATACGCCCTGTTTTCACTTACCAGAAAACTCGAGTCTTAGGAGTGGAATTGCTGGATCATATGGCAGCTTTCTCTATCCTTTCAAGAAACACATATTTTTAAAAAATTCAACATCTAATGATAAATCTAATTTTAATTTTAATAATGATAATCTAGTTCTGTTTTAAAGCCTTTCCTTCCCTCCCCTCTTCCTTTTCTCCCTTCCTCCCTTCCTCCCTTTCTCCCTTCCCCCCTTCCCTCCTTCTCTCCTTCCTTTCTTTTCTTTCATTCCTTCCTTTTTGAGATGGAGTCTCACTCTTTTGACCAGACTGGAGTGCAGTGGTGCGACCTCAGCTCACTGCAACCTTTGCCTCCCAGGTTCAATCGATTCTTCTGCCTCAGCCTTCCGAGTAGCTGGAGCTATAGGCATGGGCCACCGTGCCCAGCTAATTTTTGTATTTTTAGTAGAGATGGGGTTTTGCCATGTTGCCCAGGCTGGTCTCGAACTCCTGAGTTCAAATGATCCACCCTCCTCCGCTTCCCAAAATGCTGGAATTACAGGCATGAGGCCCTGCACCTGGCCAGGAAAGCCATTTCTTTTCTGAACAGTGACGAAAGCAGCTCTAGGCCTTGACTTAGAACTTAGACTTTAGAGACTTCCAAGGTAGAGAGAGCTGTCTCCTTACTAACGGGATGGGCGCTGTGGGATGCTCTCATGTCTAACCTGGGGGAGGTCCATTGTCCAGGGCTTTTCTAGGGCCAGCCTTGGCTGGGCACCAGTCAGGCTAATCATTTCCTCCTCACCCAGGAGAGAGAACCTCTTCACATACGGACGCAGTCACGCATGTTGTTATGAGATCACACTTGATTAGAACTCTTTGGGCTTAGATTAGCAAGGAAGAGAACATTCAGAAACTGTAAGTGAATCACACTATTTTCGGCTCTTTGCAACAATACCCTTGGGTAGCCGGAGGTGTCATAGCTCTGCCATTATTAGGAAAATGATAGTCGTAAGTGTGCCTGGCTCTGTCTTTGTTTATTAAGATGACAAAGGCAGGAACCTCACAAGTGAATCAGCTTGGATTACCGGCTCCACAGGTCACAGTTGAAAACGGAACCAGGCCTGGGAGTGGCAGAGCTTTCTGTGGTACTTGGGGTGCTTTTCCAAGGGTTTTGTGCTGTCAAAAATAAGATGAGCATCAAGCTTCTCAGGATTGTGAGAACAACAAAGAAAACCCAGTGAAAGCTGTGCCTTGCACACTGGCCTCTCCTGCAGGAAATTCTCAACAGCCCTTTTAAAGTAATATTAACCAAATCCAATCCCTCTCAGCGCAATTACTGTCAGAGTGTCAAAGCAATGAATTTAATAATGTTTCAATAGCAAAGACGGCATGCTTTTTCTTTCTCTGATCTCCAGCTTTTGTTGCTTTTGCCTCTCTCTCTTCGGGTATATATTTATAATCCAATAATGGCAAGGGCTCAGATCTTTTAAGGTTAGAGAAGACTGGAAATACAGGCATGATTTAGGAAGATTTTTTTCACTTTTCCCTCTAAAAATCGTGTTAACGTGTGTCACCGTACACGGACATAGGTGATGAGGTGGTTGAGACTTCACATGAAAATGCTTGTTTAGAATATATTCACAGTGGCTTTAGTGGAATGTCTTGACTTTCAAAGACTCTATACCACTAATTTTGGGTGTTCGTATTTCAGCTGACCATTGGTATGCTTTTTACTGGAGCGCTTTCCCATAACGAATTTTCTCCTTGATGCTGCAAAGGTGGAATGAATTTCATAAATTATTTTGAGGTTAGGTATTTCAAATGAGTAAGAGTATTGCATTTCAGAGAGGCCCTGGGGTCCCTGGTGGGAAGTTTTCTGAGTAAATACATTGGATCGTGCAAAAGGATTCAGGGTGATTTTTTTGTGGCTATATGTATACAGTGATTTAAAGGGCTTTTCTGTGTGTGTGTGTGTGTGTGTGTGTGTGTGTGTGTGTGTGTTAGGGGATGCTTTTTTTTGAGTTCCTGGCTGGGCGCGGTGGCTCATGCCTGTAATCCCAGGACTTTGGGAGGCTGAGGCGGGTGGATCATGAGGTCAGGAGTTCAAAGTCAGCCTGGCCAACATAGTGAAACCTTATCTCTACTAAAAATACAAAAAATTAGCAGGGCGTGGTGGCACATGCCTGTAATCCCAGCTACTTGGTAGGCTGAGGCAGGAGAATCGCTTGAACCTGGGAGGTGGAGGTTGCAATGAGCCAAGATCACTCCACTGCACTCCAGCACAGGCGACAGTGCAAGACTGTGTCTCAAAAAAAAAAAAAAAAAAAAAAGCTATTCCTGATTAGGCTGATATTATGTTGTTGTGTTATACTCAACCTAATGCTAGCAGAGCCCTCATTTCTTGTGGCATTAAATTGAAATATTTATTTATCCTTCTAGAACTATTTAAACATCATTTAAAAGAAACAACAAATATTGCAAGTAGATTTTTTTTACAAAGGAAACTAAGCATGTATAAAGCAGATTCACTTTGCTGGCCGAAAGCATCCTCTTAGATGGACCTGCCACAGCCTCTGTGTCTAGGGCTGTTGTTCATTCTTACAAAGGTAGAGTATGGTCTAACTTCTTTATTATTCCATGTTAGAATTGCCTAAGCTTCTCTAAAACATAATGAGTTGTTTTTCCTTCTCCCAAACGTGCTCACCCAGCAGGATGCCAAAATCTGATGATTTGCCTATTGTATACAGAGCATCAACTCTTAACATGAATCACTCAGAAGCCGATTCTGCTGAGAGGCTAATTTGAGATTCATGTGTTCATTCAAAATAACAAAGTCCAATCAAACTGTACAGATAACACACAACAGGGTAATACAATACCCCCATCCCTAAGCAGAAAGAGAAAAGCCATGGGGCTGCAGGACCAGGAAAAAGACACATGATCAAAGGGAGCCCAAGCCTGAGTTGGGATGTGTGTCAGCGCCGTGGCTCCCGGGGTGTGACCTTACCCATTCATCGATACGAGGAAAGGGCTCTCTGCGCTTAAGAGGAGGACAATGGAAGAGAGGAGGCCCTTCTTTGTTCTTTTGGGCCTGACAAGAAGCAGGCACAGCCTGTGTTGGTCGGGGGTTAAGAAGTTCTGTTAACTTGCAGGTTTTCTTGGAGAGGAGAGGGAGGGGACGGCAGATGAGAGGGGAATGATTTCTGCTCATATCCAGGAGCTGGGTGGAATCCTACAGTCTTCTGCTGAGAGTGAGCACATATCTGGAGGCACCAGTGATAGCAAAAGTTGTTTGTTTGTTTGTTTGTCTGAGATGGAGTCTTGCTCTGTCTCCAGGCTGGAGTGCAGTGGCGCGATCTCAGATCACTGC